TCTCATTCAAAAATGAAATGAATGCAACATGAGATAAAAATAAATAAATTGCCCATAAGCGTACATCTTTTGAATTAAAAGAAAGGGTTTAACCCTTTTTACATCAATAGCATTCCGCCTACAAATAAAAGGCCCCGTGGCCAACACATAAAGAAGATCCTCGATCTTGAGACCCTTATTGACGTTCACTTGAAAAAGGATTAACAACGTGGGATGAACATAAAGTCCAGTAGGGATCCCAAACAATAATAACATACAGATAGGTTTGATCATGAATGCTTTAAATCATAACATATACATAATGTGATAGTTTACACCGAAACACACTTATATAAGAATCTTTCTCAAAATCATTCATTTCGTTCAACAACATAAGTAATTTACCTTTTCTTCCTTCTTGTTACCTTTTGCCAAAACTTATATGACAGTAACAAATCCTTGAAAACAATTTCACCAAGCCCATTATACTTTCTCTTTCTTTCCAGACTTACACTCGATTTACCTTTTTGAAACATGTTCACAAGTACCCGAAGTCCGTCACGTTATTCACCCTCTCAATACAGTACTTACTCTGTTTCCAACACACTCATATCTATACATATATTTCTTTAGTACAAAAGGAAAATAACAAGCAACCAACAACTATCTACTCAACAAATGAGACAACTCGGTCATCCAGAACCATAACCATCATAACCCATAATATACCCAGATACACTGAGACAATAATGATAAACAAGATCTGCTCTACCTGCCTTAAACACGGTAAACCAAGGATACACCTTTCTATAACAAAATGCCAAGCTAAGGATACATCTCAAGCCATTTTAGTCTTACTTCATTTCATGATAATTCATTTCAAGTTAATTTATTTCATCTCAATTTATGAGCCAATTCATTACAGTTTAGACACCCAATTGAGGCTACAACTCAATGGTTCTTAATCAACACAATTATTACACAAACACTTCAATTTTCCATTTTACGGAAATTTCATCCGCGGGAATCAGCACCCATGTATATATATATATATACGCGCGGTTTCGGGACTTTCACCCTGGACACTCTGGCCAACTTAATTTCAATGGAGTCCATCCCTTATCTCCTCCCAAATATGGAGTGCATCCCCTCTCTTCTCCCAAACATCATACATATACAATGTATTTTAAACATGGTCATATTCAATGACAACCAACAAGAGATTAGTTTCAATTCTCCTGATCCTCATGCAATTTCTACAACAATCATAGCTATCATTCACCGATAGCCCAAGACATATATTTCTAAACATTTATACAATCTCCAAAATAGATAGACTATCTATATTATCATAGGTGAGATATTAGAAATATCCAACTCCACCATTTACATTCATATCTATCCATTTCTACATCTCATACGAAAGGAAAACAAAAATCTAATTCACGCTAGACTTTCAGTCCAATAACCATGATAATATCTAAAGGTTCCAAAATCCAATCTCAAGTCCATTATCAATTTACAAAGGGTGATGATTTCATTCTCTTTCAAAAGACCACCTTTCTTTATTTTACAATCCACACAACTCCAATAATTTTCTAAAAGTTCATTCTTGTCATTTTACAAAACCAAAACCAAATCCATCCTCTTTATTTTACAAAACCAATTCCATTGATATCAAAACCATAACTCAACTCAACTTCACGTGATTAGTCTAAAACAATACCAACACCGTGGTTACTTCTCTTTTTATTTTCTTTTGATATAAACACAATTATACAACCCATATTAGCAAAATATAAAGATTATTCAACTTCCTCCCTTTTAAATCCATTATATCAATAATATTAAATTAGGGCTTTCTTCCCTCTCTTTACAAGCATAATAAATCATCTCCCAAGTAACCCAACAACAAACAACTTAACAACTCTAATCACAAATATCAAACCCTAGATCCCCTTTCATGGTTTTCAAGGAAATCCATAATGAATATGGTTTTTATGCAATAAGATCCACCACACATCTATCTATAGACGAGGTACTAGAAAGGAGTAAAGAAATCTCTGCCTCTTGAAGCGAAGGGAAAAAACCTGAAAATTCACTGGCGACAAAACCATGAACTATTCGGACCAAAAAGCAGCCCTTGACGAGATCTACAACCTTTCTCAAAGGAACAAGGCAAGGAGACGCTTCCAAGTGAGTAGATCTAAAGATCTTTGAGCAAAAAGTGATTTTGGAGAGGGAGAGAGTGACTTACGACTTGGAGAGGGAAAAAGAGAAGAAAAGTAAAGAAAAGGTTAAGTGAGGGACCTATTTATAGTGCTAGGTCAAAGTAAAATGAAGTCCCAAAGTCAACCCAAAAGATCAAGTCAAAATTTCCAAAAAGTAGGGCCCAAACCGGACTGAAATTTGGAAAAAAGTTCGCAGGTGTCGACCCTTATGAAGAAAAGCTAGAACACTTATGTTTGACAGCAACACAGGCATCGACCCTTCCCAGACTAGTGTCGATACCAAAAAACAACAAGCAACCTCCAGATTCAGCAACACACAAGGGTCGACCCTTCTAGACTGATGTCGACCCTTAAGGCCAAAAACAAAAAACAAGTGTTGACACCACCAAGATTGGTGTCAATCCCCGAACAAGATTTCTAAGTTCCCAAACAACTTTTCAACGTAAACAAGCGTGAACGAACAATCCCAACAAGTTTAAATTAATTTGTATTCCTCCAAAACCAAGATACAACAACACCAATGATTCCCAAAATAAAATAAAGGGTTCAAATACACTTCCCAAAAGTTTTAAAAGGGTACAAGTGCTACACCAACATTCTGTGTTCTGTAAGCTATAGCAAATCCAAGGTTTTTCGCATATTTTGCATAAAACTCGTGCACTCCTTGCTTTGAGGTAAAGCACATCCCCTTCTTAGGTTCTTCAATTTCACCACTCTCATTTAATGAAGAATTGTTCTCTGGTTCCTCAACTTTCTCACCCCCACTCAATGTAGGATTGTTTGAATCAATGTACATTGTACCTTCAAACTCAAATGCAAAGTGTGACACAGCTTATTGCAACCTTGTATACATCACACATCCTAATACAGATTCAGCTATAGACAGATTCAAATCACAGTTTGTATACATCACACAGATTCAGTTATAGACACATCCCAAAACACACATATACAGTACACATATAGAGAAACAAGGCTGCATAGCTATACATCACACATTTAACAATTTTATTTTGATTATTGCAAAGTGCTATGTATAGAAGTCTACAAAACATGCAACTAACTAATGAAAAATTTGGAAATTCTATTCAAGCTAAAAAACACAATGTTAAAAATAAAAATAAAAGGACTATAGCTGAAGTCAATGAGGAATCAGTTAAATTGGAGCCTGTTGAGTTGGAAGCTGAAGAGACTAAGGAAAATGTGCCTGGTGCTGTTTTTGATACTGAATCATCGCTGGTAGATGATATTTTGTTAGTAGAATCAGGAGGATTAACTTCAAGATCGCATGAAACTAGTGATAGTGGTGGGCAGCAGCATAAAGAGGTTAATATAGCTTGTTCAGTTGTTTGCATTCTGTCTCTTGCCATGCTATTAGTTAATGAGTGTTTTTATCTGCAGGGCTGGGCCATTAGTGGAGGCAATGAAGGGATTGTAGAACATTTTCATAAACTTGTTCCTGATATGGCACTTGAATTTCCTTTTGAACTGGATAAATTCCAAAAAGAGATATTGATTGTTGCAAAATTTACATTGCCATATGTCTGCACTAGTATGTTATTTGTCATTGGGTTGGAGTAGGTAATTGGAACATAGAACAATAAATTTGCGTCTAGTTTTGAAGCACTGTAAAATACACTTACTGTTTAATCTAGGACATGTTTTTTGGGACTTCCTTTGTTTATGTAGATTAATTAGTTGAACTCCATGGTTATGAAGATTGAAAACACAAAATCAAAAAAAAATGAAATACAAAAAATAATTGAGTTTTCAGAAGAAAAAAGGTTGTGAACAAAACTCTCCTCCTTAACAAAAACCACCTCTATCAATTTTATCAATTTTTATCAGTTTTGGAGATAGAGAGGTTCCTTTTATCAATTTTTATTCACACTGGCTCGACAAGGCGATGGAATACGAAAACCACCTTTATAAAAAAAAAAATTATAAAGAAAAAAAAAAACGCACCAGCAAATTCAAGATGGACGGCGAGATTCAGAGATTGACGGACGAACGGTGAGTACAGTGAGTAATTGAGATTGACGTCGAAGTGGTATTTCGATGGTCGACGAACAACATAGTGATTGACAGTGGGCAAAGATCGCCGGACGGCGAACAACACAGTGATTGACGCTCAACAAAGTTTTTTGCTGGTCAGTGGTTAGCATCAGTCACTCTCAGCGGTGGTCGCTCTCAACTCTTCTTATTCAACTGGTTCCTCTCTCTCTCCCCTCTCTACTTATATTTCTTTCTAAACGCGCGTGGTGTCAATCGAATATGTTGCAACTAAGCCAAACATTACAAAAATCACCTTTATCAATTTCGGGCGATTCGGGGGGCTCGTTTTCAAGCTACATAGCGCGATTGAAAAAAGTAATTTAAAAATAAAATAATTATAATAATTATGGACGAATCAAAGTGACATGTGTATCAAATAAGTGTAAAAATTTAACATAAACAAACAGAAACAGACGGAGGGTCAACATTAAGACACGGTTAAAAATTCAGGATTTAAATTATTAAAATTAAAATGTTGGTGTTTAATGTGAAAAACACGCTAAACTCTGAGTATTTTTTTTCTAAACTTTGAGTTTTTTTTTTTTTTTTTTTGTAATTTGTCCTAAATTTTTTATTTTTTACAAAAAAAAAAAATTTGTAAAATATGGATGGTTTGGATATTAGTTTTTTTTAATGATTTATAATTTTTTTTTTACAAAAAAAATATATATGTAAACAAAATTAACTTTTTATAGCAGTTTTTTAACTATTTTATTGAGTTAAAACCCTTACAGATATCCACAGCTTGAAGCAAACTACATCCCCAGACCGACCGACACTCTCTCTCACACAGCAAAACCTCACTAAAACCCTGCCTCACTCTCTTCAAAAGCTTATTCTATCACATATGTGATCTTCTCTCTCCAAATGATGCAACTTTCAGTGACCATTTCAACATCCTCAAGCTTCCCATCCTTCTCCCCTTCTCAACAACCCACCCAAAACCCTCCTCCTCCTCTTCCTCCAGCCATTGAAAGACCCAAAAAACCAAAGCACCACACACTGCGAGTTAACCAGCACCACCACCAGCACCATGTTGGGCCTCTACATGCCCTCAAAGGCACTGGGTTCTTGTCCGCAATTGGCCAAGCAATCGAAGAAGAAGAGTATCGAAAAGCTAGGGCTGAGGTTAATCGTAAAGGGTTCAATTTAGAAGGGTATTCGATCGAGGGAGTTTCGATTGGCGGGCATGAGACTTGTGTCATTGTCCCCGAATTGAAGTCTGCGTTTGACATTGGGAGGTGCCCATCTAGGGCTGTCAATCAGAATTTTGTGTTTATCACTCATGCTCATCTTGATCATATTGTAAGCTTCCTAAGGATAGTAATTTTGTCAATGAACATTAAAGATTTGTCAATTTATGAGCTAGTTTGTGTTTTTGTGTGAAAGTTTAGGTGATAATTTCAGTTTGAATAATTTTATAACATACATTCTTCACATAAATTAGTGAATTGTGAACGCCCATTATAGCTTTAGTTTGGGGTAAATTACATTTTGTACCTCTGCACTTCACTTTGAATCTCACTTTAGTCCCTCAACCCCTTGCACTTTTAGTTAAGTTACAATGTGCCCTTATCTTAATTTGGCATTAAACATCACATGAGATATATTTTAGGGAAAAGAAAATATAATATTTATATATATAGTGCAAAAATAGGGAAGAAAATTACATCTTTGCCTCAAAAATTGTCTCATGTAAGGGTCACATGACAATTTTTGTTAATGAATTTAATACCAAAGTAATTACAATTGAAAAATGAGAGATCTAAGTGAGATTCGGTGTAAAATGCAAAGGTGCAAAGTGCAATTTACTCTTTATTTTATTTTCAACATTTGGTATAATTACTCAGATCCCAAATTTCTGCTTTTGCTTTAAAAGTTAAAGTTTGAATGAAATTGTTATGATGGTTCTCTATATAATTTCATTTGAGTCCATGATAAATTTGAAAATTTTATGCTGTGATCTTGATAGTACAACCAAGCATATACACTCGTAATAAAACATGCTTCTTTGATTTGAAGTTACCATTGCACCAAATGAGCATTTGTTTGGATCTACTTTGTAAAATAATCAAATTTACAGTTCAGCCAGGTTCATTGAACCACGAAATCAAATTACTTTGGGATTTTGCACAGAAATCTATATTTATGGCTTGAAAAAGTTACAAATTTGACTAGATGTTCACTGTTCGGTTTGGGCTAAATGTTTATATTTTTCAAATCATGGGTAGATTTTAGTGTTTTGGTTGTCATTGTTTCATTCTGACTAATTTTTAGCTTCAAGTCAGAAAATGTAAAAGTATGATGACTTTAATGATATTTACTGATCCAGGGTGGGCTCCCTATGTATGTAGCAACTCGTGGTTTGTACAACTTAAAACCTCCAACAGTATTTGTGCCTCCTTGCCTTAAAGAGGATGTGGAGAAGTTATTTGACATTCACAGGACCATGAGTCAGGTGGAACTGAATCTTGATTTGGTTACATTAGATGTAGGTATGTAGTTTTGACAACTTCAGCAGTCTTTGCCTGGTGAGCTCATATCTTTTATGCAAATTGTGATTTTTCAAAATTTTACTCAGGTGAAACTTATGAAATGCGGAATAACCTTGTTGTAAGACCATTTAAAACTCACCATGTTATACCCAGCCAGGTACGTTTAAAAGTTACTGAGTAGGAAAATCTAGTATTTGAGTTCTTATATCTCTGTAAACAACAGGACTTTTTTCAATTCGAATTAGCAAAAGCAATGTCTCGTTGCATAATGTGGATTCCAAACATTCATGATCTGGATGTGAATGAGTTGAATTACTTATCCCTCGGTACCATCTCTCTAGGGATTGTGAAAGATGTTCCACTAGAAATATTCTTGTTATTGCTTCGACTCATATTCCTCAAAAAGTGGATCCTGCTCTAATAGCTCCGAATAAATCAAATATGTGCATTAAGATACAAAGGCTTCTTATTACTTTTTTACTGTCTATCGATACATTGAGACCCAAAGAATATTGATTTCAGGCCTTTTGGTTTTTTGATATCAACCACCGAAAATAATGGATGAAAATCCCAGACAAATTGATTTAGCACACAATTTTAATATCCAAAATCAACATATCAGGAAGGATTTCAAAATAGAAGGTCCTTATAAATGCAATGCCTACAAATCCACTTGGTGTTTTTATCCTGATATTGCTCACAAGTCCAGCTTTGTGCATTATCTGTTCAGGGTTATGTAATTTACTCGGTTAGAAAAAAGCTGAGGAAGCAGTACATGCATTTGAATGGAAAACAAATTGAGAAGCTAAAGAAATCTGGTGTTGAGGTTTGTATTTAAAAACTAGTTTTTGGTTAAATGCTCCTTCATTTAATGTTAGTGTGACTTTGAAGTTTATTCTTGTAGATCACAGACACTATATTGTCTCCAGAGGTGGCCTTCACAGGAGATACAATGTCAGATTTTTTTCTTGATCCCCGCAGTGCTGATGCCTTAAGGGCAAAAATTCTTATAACGGAGGTAGTGTCTTGGATTCATTTATAATCTTCTTTGATTTGCTTGTACATGTCTCGTGAACTCAACTGGATTTTTTTGGGAGGGTGTATGTCTAGCTATAAACTCATTTGGTTCTTAGATTTTAGTTTCCAAGGAAGCAGATAATTACCAGTGTGTTCAAATATTATTTACTCAAAATTGTGGAGTAAAACAATACAGTTCAGAATAGAGGACATACATTCATTCAATTAACAGTAACAGTTCAGAAAGCAGTACAGTTCAATTGTTCAGAAAATAACCATTTTGAACATATCTTTACACAGTTGTTACTCACAGAGTTTGGGCTACAGTATGCTAGAGCGTGTCTCCCCAGTTGCCAACCCTACACAGTTCACAGGTTGAACACACACTAAGCTACACAGTTGGGAAATATCATAACTTAATCCCTAATTTACCTTGGTGTGTTCTACAACGATATCCTCATCAAGATGTCCTAAACTAGGCCTAAGAATGCCTAGGATGAGATGAGGATGCAAAAATACACTTAGAAAACATTTTGCAAACTTTGCTGAAAATAAGAGCCTCGCTCGAGCGAGCCTTTCTTCGCTCGAGCGGAAGTCCAAAATCAAAGTCTTCGCTCGAGCGAGTAATCCTTAGCTCGAGCGGTCTGTCGAAACAGTAAAAATACTGGATGCTGTGATCTTGCGCGCGATGGTCGCTCGATGGTCGCTCGAGCGGAGCCCTGGACAAAGGTGCTCGCTCGAGCGGGGAATCCTTCGCTCGAGCGAGGAAGCCAAATCTGGAATTTCCAGATTTGCCTCCCAAGCTCAAACCAAGCATTCTACCACTCCAAACTCGACCTCTTGGGCCCAAATTCTGGAAAACATAACTAAATTCAATGTATAACAAGTTTCAAAGCTCAATTTATGAATTCAAGCCCCAAAGGTGAGTCAATTAAAACTATATTCAAACCCATTTTTCAAGAATATCCTCAAACATGGCATGCATGATCTTAAATCATCTTCAAAGCTTTAATCCTGTTTCAAAAGAGCCCAAACCTTCAAAAACAAGATGAACTCATGGAGTATGACCAAAAGATGGACATGCATGTGAGGTATTATGAACTTCCACCTCAAAACTTCAATATATGTACATGCATGCAACAATTAAGCTTCAACATAGCAATTTGAGCCATAGGGGACTCTAAACTTCAACTTAGCTCTAAACCATGCAAGAATCAACTCAAAACATGAACAAGAAGACAATGGAGCTACCTTAAGTCTTGTATTTAGGATAGGGAAGCTCAATTGTACAAAACTCCTTCAATTCTTCAAGATTCTCAAGCTAAAGCAACAAGAACAATTCCCTCTCTCTCTAACTCTCTTCTTGGTCGGCTAGAGCATCAAACAAGGCTGAGGAAATGTTTGTTTCAAGTGTGCACAAGGCCCTAATATGTTATAATAAGAGGCCCACTAACAATGGCAAAAGTGTAATTACGTCAAACTCTTTAATTAGCTTATTTTAATCTAATTTAACCATACCTAATCAGTTTTCAGGTAAGTACACCATAAAATCACATTAATTACGAGGGTCATGGAACATCAATCGGTTTCTAATTCGGCCGCCGATAAGGCCTTCAATTAGCAGTTTGAACATATAAGCATGAACAGATAATCATACAGTCAAACAGATAGAATGCAATTTAACTAACATACTCAGTCAATTCGGTTTCCAATTTCAGTCAGTCAGTTCAGTACTTTAATCAGTTCAATTATCAGTCATAATCAATTCAGTTTAACGGTAATCGATGGTTATCGGTAATCAATCAGTCATAAGTCGGTAAACAGTATGAGGGTTGTTACATTAAGATACAAAGGCTTCTTATTCCATAACAACGAAAGCACTTTTTTACTGTCTATCGATACATTGAGACCCAAAGAATATTGATTTCAGGCCTTTTGGTTTTTTGATATCAATCCCAGACAAATTGATTTAGCACACAATTTTAATATCCAAAATCAACATATCAGGAAGGATTTCAAAATAGAAGGTCCTTATAAATACAATGCCTACAAATCCACTTGGTGTTTTTATCCTGATATTGCTCACAAGTCCAGCTATGTGCATTATCTGTTCAGGGTTATGTAATTTACTCGGTTAGAAAAAAGTTGAGGAAGCAGTACATGCATTTGAATGGAAAACAAATTGAGAAGCTAAAGAAATCTGGTGTTGAGGTTTGTATTTAAAAACTAGTTTTTGGTTAAATGCTCCTTCATTTAATGTTAGTGTGACTTTGAAGTTTATTCTTGTAGATCACAGACACTATATTGTCTCCAGAGGTGGCTTTCACAGGAGATACAATGTCAGATTTTTTTCTTGATCCCCGCAGTGCTGATGCCTTAAGGGCAAAAATTCTTATAACGGAGGTAGTGTCTTGGATTCATTTATAATCTTCTTTGATTTGCTTGTACATGTCTCGTGAACTCAACTGGATTTTTTTGGGAGGGTGTATGTCTAGCTATAAACTCATTTGGTTCTTAGATTTTAGTTTCCAAGGAAGCAGATAATTACCAGTGTGTTCAAATATTATTTACTCAAAATTGTGGAGTAAATTAGTGTGTCTATGTACACGTATTTTATTAATCTTGGAAAATTCATATGGCAAAACATGCATCAAGGAAGTATCCCAAACATGCCTATTGAGCACAAATCCTGTGACAGGCATATTAGGCACATAGCTTAGAGCCTCATATATCATGGCTATACATTGTTGTGTACAACATATCTACTTCCATATATTCTAAAGTGTCCTTGTGAATTCAATCCTTAAAAATTTTTGTGGTTAGGTTTCAATTCTAGCCTAGCTCAACTTTGCAGTTTTACTTTCGATGTCAAGTGTTACGAAATTCTTATACATGTAGAGGGGTATTCTTAGTTATACAATCTCAGCCACTTTCAATGTGTGACAGAAGCCCTTTATTTATTTTTGATTGGTTTGACAGAAACATGCTACAGGTATAGATTCCAAGTATAAACAAGGAATTGTAATTTATTTGAAAACTGAGTGATGCTAGGATTCAGCAAATTGATGGGGTTCTATTTTTGACCTACTTTTCAGTGGATTTGGTTTCTGTGTATATGATATATACTTACCCCGATTGTGTTTAACTCAAGCTACTTTCGATTATGGTTTCTTAATATCTTTAATGTAATAGTTGAACCATTTGTTTCTGGCAGTTCAAGTGGTCCTAGTAATGCATACTCGCAATTTTGAGGTTTAGGCAGATGTGAAAATAAACGAATTTAGCATAATCCTGGGGAAAATAACCCGCCTAGTATTGCAGTGAGTTTGTGCAGGAAATAAGAATATGTGGTGCGACAATACTTCTTGATTTTAGATGTCATCTTTATCCGGTAAAACTCTTTTTTGACAGGCAACGTTTCTGGATGAAGGTTGCAGCATCGAGCACGCACGTGAACATGGCCATACTCATTTGTTTGAGGTATGTGATATGCAAGAGGTACTGGGCTTAGGCAAAAGTTCACAGTTGATCTAATTTATTTATTTTAATTCGGAAGTTACAAATGTTTCAAATTGCAGATTATAGAACATGCTCAGTGGATCCGCAACAAAGCTGTTTTGCTGACACATTTCTCGCCCCGCTACAATATTGAGGTAAGCAGAGCTAATGAACTCGCTTTTTGATGATGTCATTTATTGAAATTGTAACATTTATATTTTTTTGTTAGCTTCGGACCTGGTGTTGCATATTGTCTGTGCTAAGGATGCATTTGATTGAATTCATGCCTTCAAATAAGAATGTTGGCTGTCCATTACATAAGTTTTTCAACCATGCAAAGGAACATCACAAATCAGATGGTGTAGAATCATTTAGTTAAATGAGATGTCACTTTGTAAACCTCTCATGTTGGGCCTATTATTTACATTGATTTTCTTGCTAGTTTTAAGTGAGAGATATACAGTGATTATAGATATGCATTCCTCAGGTCCAAGGTTAACTCAAATTTCTTCTTCTTTATTATCCGAGTAATGATATGTACAAACAGAAAATTCATTTCATACGGAATTTTCATACATAATAATGTGGCTCAATGTTGATCTTTCACTTTAAAACAAAACACCCATGAAGGTGGATTTATTTATAAGAATGGCTTTGCCACATCATTCCTGTGAAGTTTTTGTATGAATTTTATGTATGAATAGAGTTTTCTTTATTTTCTTACTTCTACAAATGAATGCTGCATTTTTCCCTTATACAAATATGCGTGAACATTTATCGATTTCAATTACAGGATATTCGTCTAGCTGTATCAAAATTGCAATTGAAGGTGTCGGCCAAAGTGGTTGCCCTAACAGAAGGCTTCAAATCAACGTACTCATAGTTGCAATCTCTCGAGTTCCATTGTCTTCCATTTTTGTGGTCATGTGTATTCTGTCTTGGTAATTGATTCATAATTTCATATATGTATTCTGGTTGTCTTCCATCTTTCTTGAATGGCATGAGATTATCACAATGTATAGTGAACACAGTGATAAACGGAAAGTTTAAGGCTGTTTAGATCATGGATTTTGGTAGGGATTTCCGGGATTTGGAAAGGGAAATCCCTTACCCAAATCTTTCCTATCTTCCCTCGTCTTTTCCTTTCCCTTTCCAAATCTTTACCTAAATCCATGATCCAAACACAACCTAAAATCTTCAAATTGAATTGAGTAGTACCCAAACAACCACAAGCATATATGCACATTCACGAGAGAGCAATGATCCAATGCATTATATAATTGTCTCGAGCCTAGACTGTACATTGGCTCTTGAAATTTCCAGTAATTTGAGTTGATTTCCTATAATAGACAACTAGATAATCTCTCCTCTTATAGTTCACTCAAAAATTTAGTGGTCATGGGTATTGTTGATGTGAATAATTTGAATTATCTAAAATTAAAATGTTATCCTTGTTTTAGGGACATTGGCATGTATGTATACTTTATTTTTCTTAGTAATGGTGGCAGGAGTAATTTAGTCAAAACCTCGGTGACTCTTTCTGAAAAAAGAAATTAATAGTAGTAGTTCACATTAGGACAGATTCAAGACTAAAATGCTGGAAGATTATCTCCTGTTAGTAATTTCAACTAAAGAGTACTGTTAGCTCTTTGAACATACTCACCTAGGAAAATTATTAATGCAAAATGTGAAATTCATTAGACAGTCCTGAACAAAATAATATTGAGATACAATGTTGCAATTGAGAGCATAATAAGACAAATTTTGAGGATTTCATACTCTAAATATGTGCCCTTATCATGAGTCTACATTAGCTTTAATATAACACATCCTGTGTAAATAATGAGCAACACATCAAGTCATAGGAATATATAACAACTCATCCTGTGGTAACAGAAAAATGATGTATTAGCCCTTTCAAATGCTAATCCACTCAAGGTACTAAGAAAATTGGGACCATTAAGTCCCTCCAATCTTTAAATTACAGTCTTATTACACAAGTGCAAAGGAAGATAACTTCTAATCTCGATACAGCTAAATACTGAATAGCTCCCTCCTAACAAGTCACATACATCAAAATTCTCGAACTAGAGAAAAAGGAAAACGAAAAAAAGTAATTTATGAAAAGGTAGCGGCCATTTTGGCATTGAGGAAACAAGCAGGTCATCTACTTTTGCAAAACTCTGCAGCAAGTAACATCAATAATACGCAGTCAGCCGTTCTAAGAGATGGCCGAGAACAGTAGGGATGTATTTGTTCCTCCAAAACCAAAAGAGTTTGACATGGCTGCCCTAATTGGAATCTCCTTCGAAGCAGTCAAAGGCATGAAATGATTTTCAAAAACAGGCTCTGGTTCAGTGAGATTGAGTGTCAATGGAGCAATTCCCTGCAAGAACAGAACAAAGCAGTCAATGGATCATCGGGGCAAACTTTCCACTGTTACAGATGAATCTTTATGAACAAGTTAGCAATGCATGTACAAATATATTTAATAGTTTTGTTTTATGAACAAGATCAATTTTTTAAGATTGCAAACATTAGTAATCTATTATAACCACTGAGTTTTACCAAAGATCCGAGGGAGCAAAAATAGGAATATTCACATCTTTCTTATTTCATACTTCATGCTGAATGAGGTCTTGGTATGGCATTTATCAAGAATTTTGCAAAACAATCTAGAAACTATGTTCTTTTCATCTATTAGATGGACAATAAGCATTGAGCCCTTAACCCCATGGCAGCACTATTATTGCTATCAATGCTATGAGACAATTGCTTTGGCAATGAGTGGTGGCCAGAGCTGGTGCGGGAGGGGGGGAGAGAATGAAAACTTGTTTTGAAAAGAAGTGAAAACACTTTTTTTCCATTTCCAAAAATTTTGGAATCAATTCTATTTTTTTGAAAACAAAAACATTATATGAAACAAGTTTTTTGTTTCCAGATTTTAAAAAGCATAACAAAATGAAAGCAAAAAACAGAAAAAGGAAATGTTACCAACTGAAGCCTAAGATTGTAAATGCTGTGCATATTGTGACTATACTTCGGCAAAAGATCCTCACATGAATAGAGATTCCCGCCCTCAACCCAAAAACACATTGTGAATTAAGAACTCGGGAGTTAATCAGGAAAAGAAAATTTGATTTAGTTTGGAGAATGGAGAAGATTGCAAAATTTAAACTTAGGAGAGAGAATGGGGAAAAAGAAAATCCAGAATAACTTTATAGGGTACTGGGGGAATACAGCAAGTATGACAGAACAGTACAATACTACATACATGGTACATAGCTAGAACTGCAAAAATTGCTTCCACTGCACCAGCTGCTCCAAGCAGATGACCAATAGCACCCTGAATTTTAAGTAATTAGAAAAGAAAATTTCAAAATTCAAATATTAATCATACTTAAATACAAAACATGAGCCATGAGACATCAAATAATTAGTAATCGAAAGGAACAATTGAGCTAATGAATCATCCTCGTGTTATAGTGGCCTGGCACTATCAGGAGGGTGGTAATAGATGGATTCAAAAGCAAATAAATGGTGGTCATGAGCTTTGGGGACAAATCTAAGGGTCACTAGGTTTAAGTTTAACCATCCCATTGTTTGCTTGGGCACAAAGTCCACCCATGTTTTTGGACTACCTCCTGACACCTCAAGCAACTGTGCCGGCCACCTCCTTGTTGAAACTTAGGGAGAGGTCTGGGATTGGGGCTGCAGCTATGTAGCCTAGCTTGGCCATGGCCTTCTCATTCTAAGATTGTCAGTGGACATAGTGAAGCTCTATGTAACTTCAATGGTGTTTTCACTCAGAATTGACTCAACACAACCAGCTAAGTCAGTCACAAACCCGGATTGTCCTTGTCAACTGTTTGGTGACCTTCAACAAGCTAAGATACAAACTGGCCCAAGCATGCGGTGCACCCAAAACCTCTGTTGGGATCATGTATCAGCTCCCCAATGAGTTTTTGGACACTGGACTACTCCCCACCAAGAGTGATGACGTTGTCATCATTGCAATGAGGATCTAGTTCGATGCTTTAGAGTCGCTGTTTATTATTATGGACACGTAAGTAAAAGAAAGGAAAGGAGGGTGACAATTTGGGTTCAATTGAGCCAAGTATGGAGTTTAGAGATGAGTGGTGGTGGAAAGAAGCTACCTCAGGGTTGGGGTTGATGGACGTTTGATAAAGAAAAATTATTCAGTACTACTAGAGCACCATGTCATCCCTGCCAAGTGGTGTTGTTCCACATCAATTAGTGCAAGCTACTCGAGCATGTGGTCAGTGGGCATGCCATGTTGACACAATTACTCAGCAACAAAACGACTGCACTACCACAAGTGGTATATTGGGGGGAGGAGGAAAAAAAAGGCAGGCAATCGAAACTAAATTGGTTGGGCTGCTGAATAAAGCCCAATCATTTGGTCAACAATGCATTAAAGATGAAGGCCAAGAATAATATAGAAGAGAGTAGGGTTTCCTGGTAAGGGGCAAGTACTGGACAGGTCACAGGTAGGGAAGTCTTAACAGAGATGGTGTTCGAAGTAAAAAATAGGCCTTTCCTTTAGTTAGGGTTTTTTTTTTTTTTTTTTTTAAATTTAATTTATTCTCTTTCTTTTTTCATTTTGCACTCCCCTTGGCACCTTCTTTTAATCTAAAATTTAATTACTTGTGAAAAGAAAAAAGAACAGCATGTCATGTTCAATATGGTGAGTGAGAATATTAACATGTTACCAATATCTGGAAACTAAGAAATGAAAATACTTCTTTTTCATAATTTCCTTTTTTTATGGTAAAGTAACAATACTTTCTTGTGAATGAACATCATTCCATAATTACTGGAAAAAATCTGGAAATTTTAGATGATCCTAGACACCTTAGAAAATATACCCATAAATTTAGGTTCCACTAGCTTGCTGAAAAGGTCAGGAATAAAGAGGGGTTAACAGTTGGTACTAAGGGCAAAGTTCTGCACCATCAATCTGACAAGACAAACATCATGCACAGGTCATGAATGTTATGCCACAAAGTTCAGCAGTGCAAGCAGATAAAAAAAATGTTCAGCAGTGCAAGCAGATAAAAAAAATGTTCAGCAGAGCAAGTATACATCCTTAAGTTCATATTCCTATCTTCCCAAAACTCTTGCTCACTAAAAGATTTACCTTTGTGGAGGAAAAAGCCAAGGCACCTGATGTTGCATGCTCAGAAAACAAGGATTTAATAGCATTGGCTTCTATTTGATCACCTGAATAAGACGTCACAGCAACAAGAGCCTTGTTTACACCATCTTAAGCACTTCCTAGCACAAGTGATTGCACCAGTTCAAAGCGTTATAATGCAAAAATATGATAAAAGTTGTTACAGTTTACCAAGAGGAGTAGACGTAGCATGAGCATTTACATAACCCACTTGATTAGCACGAAGACCGGACTGCAAGTCACATAAAAAGCAAACATATTTTAGCAAACAATAAGCACCTCCATGCGAACATTGACATTTGAAAATGAACACTATGTAAAATTTAGTTTGGAAAGCTTGTTGGACTGAATCAATAGGCAAGGCAACATCTACAACATCAAAATGACGGGTCATATGTATGCAAAAAGATAAATCACATTTGAGTGATGCCAGAGAATTTAAGCTGTCCAATCATTATGACCACAAGTTCACCAAAAAGAATTTCATTTTTGTCCTTCCCAAAGTTCTCAAGCACAATTACCATGCAACATAAAACTGAAGGTTCAGAATTTCAAAAATATCAACAGTATTACAAGGGGAAGCATGTATCTTTAGGTGACATAAAAAAATGAATGGTCACCTAAGGCACCCTGGATATGTGTTGCTACAACCTTTTGTGACTCAACCAAATAGATGTTTGAAAAAAGACAAATACACGCATATGAACAATGCAAAAAATTAATCTTGGCTTGTTACCTGCTTTAAAGAACGTGTCATGGCCAAAATCGCACCTCTTCCATCACTATGTGGTTGAGTAATGTGATGTGCATCACCTGGATAAATTTGATATATTCAGAAGCTGAAACATATGAAATAGTTCCAGTAATACTAATACAACACTTGCAAAGAACAAACCTGACATCCCGTAACCACGAACTTCTGCATACATTTTTGCTCCCCGCTTTCTTGCATGTTCCAGTTCCTTGATTCCAAAAAGAAAAAAGAAATGACTTTATTAATTTCGGTGATTTGTATTCTTTGCATCATCTTGATGCTTTTTCAATCAGTAATTTATTTATCAAAAAAATAAAATAAAAGAAGAAATGAAGACAGAAATGAAGAGGAAAATGGAGAGAGAGAGAGAGAGAAGATGACAATGACGTTAATTGTAACGCAAAAGCAAAAACAGCTAAGATTACCCCCAATGAGGTTAAAAAACAATCAGCAGTATATAAATTGCTGTAGAGACATGTAGAAAGCCTTCCACTCAAATCATTATCATGTACATCTTTATACTTCTTTATACAATGTTGCTATTTTGAGATTTAATCTTAAAGCTTTTACCGTTGTGCAGCTGCCATTAGGTAATGTACGAATCACATTATCTTATCTTATACTTACATACACAACAGAGAATAGATTTAACATGGGATGTGATTACATAACATAATAATATTGTACTACCACATCAGTTCAGAAATTCTACCATAAAGCTTGCAAAAGCTGGCAAGGTTAAATGTACAATGTGAGAAAAGCCATATTGATGGTGGACGCTCCCTACCATACATATTAAAGCAAGACATGTTACCACTAGCAATGTATTTATGGTCCACCTTCTCTAAGGTGAGGCAGCATAACCTTTGATATTCCTCACATTAAAATCAGATCCATACAGGCATCATGGCTGAAGCCAGGCAAAATGATTTTGGCCATCAGAGACTAAAATTGAGCTGCCAGAAACGAAGGCAAGGCACAAAATCGCCTTGCATCAACCAACATAAACATATTCCAAACAGCCTATGCACCAAGCATACATGACAATGTGAAAACCTCTCCTAGAGACAAAGTACTGAGTAGTAGGGCTGTTATGGCTACACAGCCTATTGGGTCTATGGACCTTGATAAGTACTGTTCACTGAACCCTAGGTCCAAAGGAGGGTTTGGGGGGCCTCCCCTCACAGGGGAGGGGGTCTGAAGCAACCGTGGACGTAACCCTATTCTGGAGTGAACCACGTAAATCCTTTTGTTCTTTGTGTGTGTTTGATTTCTTTGATTCGTTTATCATTTTTGTTTGCTATTTTGTGTCTCATCGATCTTGGTTAGGAAGAGACCATTTCCTAACACAACCAAAACGTAAAGTTTGGAAACCTTAAAAACAAGATGGTATAGAAAATTCTAATTTCCATGCCATTTTATTAAATGATATAAAATTTTGATTGAAATACTTGACGACACATGTAAGATTGAACCAAGAATTACAAAAATAATAATAATAATAATAATTATTGATATTAGAAAAATTCAACTCACCTCCAACACCAAGACCCCAGAACCTTCACCTATACTGAGTTTAAACATTGCGTTATACTGATGAAACAATAAAACTTTTCAAGCATAATATATAAGAAATGCACAGCTAAAGTATTTACTTACACGAATCCATCTCGACCACAATCGAAAGGTCGTGAAGCTTCTTCTGGATTAGAATTATACTTTGTACTCAAAGCCCTCAACCTGCATTTTCAAAATAGTAACTAATCATCATAGAAGGTCATCGATACCATAAATCCATTTCCTATTAGTTGCTTGATTATATTCTCAATATTTATTGCAAGTTAACGAGAATCATCTCCCTCTTTCAGTGCCTTTTTCCCTTGACATTTATGACAAACCTTAAATGTTTTTATGTTAGAAGATAAGCCGTGTTAACTGAAAGTCGGATTAACAATTGTTCATGCTACTCTCACAAATCACTGCCATATGTATATTACTAGGAAAAAAGTGGGGTGACAAAAGAGAGTCAAAGATTGTCTAATGTACCAAGTCCTACAGTTGCCAAGTTGAAGTGAACCCCACCAAAGTTTGAAACTTCCAATATGCAACACACCATATGCAAGTCCTTCCCCAACTCATGCCAGATTCTCATTTGATATAGAAAATATTAAAATGAGTTTCACTTGATGCTCATTCCAAATATTTCAATTGTTGGATTCATAGTTGTCAAATCTTGAATCGTATCATGAATCGAAATCCTGAATTTGTGAATCATCAATTGAATTGAAACGAGAATCGTTCAGATTCAAGACAAACTATAAAAATAATTCTAATTAATCACATATATGAAATAAATTGATTTTGGCACATGTTATAAAATAGTTCTCATATAAGGACATGTTTAACACCATCTAATTAGAAGTTAGAAAGGAATTTCCTTTGTAGCAAGAGATGCCTATCCAAATCCTAACAAACAAGCATAAAATTATTCAAAAATTACAATACGATATCTCCTGACATTCAAAAAATGGACCTAAAAAACCTATATAGACTATAATAAAAAGAAAGAATTAAGTGGGATCCTTTATTTTAAAGGTCAAACACTCCAAAATGAACGCATACTATTAGGCCTATTTGGGAATTGGCTTTTTTAGTGACTTTTTGTCTTTTTACAAAAAGATGTGCGAAAAAATAGAGATCTAGTGTTCAAAATAGTCTTCTTTTTTTTTTTTAAAAAAAAAAAAAAGAAAAAAAAGAAACTATTGTAGAACAACTGGGTCTAACTTAATTGACCCATGTAATAACGAATCATATTTATTTCACAAAAATAGCAATTGATAATTCTATGGGAGCAAGTTACTTTAACCTTAAACATCATTATAAGATGCGTTGTGACATTTTTTTAGGAAAAAACATCATTATAAGATGCGTTGTGACATTTTTTTAGGAAAAAACCTTAAGAATATGTTCGGTCTGACTAGATCTGATTGGATCTTATTAAAAACCACCTTATCATCAAAATTACAACAAATCATGTATATATGCATTGATTATTTTTGTATTATACACTTTTAGAAGCTGTATTATAACATTTTCAATATTAAAAAAAGAAAAAGAGAGTAAAAAATGGTAAGAATATGTTGGATACGATAGTTTCGAAAATCTCATGAATCTGTAAAAAGTGAATCAATAGTGAATTGTGCGATTCGCTATAGCTTCTATCAAAATATATTTGCCCATAGATTCGTATTGATCTAGGCATGAATCACAAACTAAATCACGAACACAAAGGTTAGATTGACTTGACTAGGGATCACATGTCCACACTGCATCCACCTCAGCCTCAAAAAATTCAATACATCTTGGTGTCTGCCACAAGGTTGCAAGTAAAACTCAGTCTTTGAGCTCATGATGCAGATGTAGGCACCTCTAGGATTAGGAAGACTAATAGAGATTGTAAATGTGATACATCTTGTTTCCCAAAATCCCACCAATGGCTATGCAATTTTGATAAAGATAATGCTCAAGCATCAAAGCAAACAGTTATGTCCCGATGCCCAAATTCTTTAGGTTCTTGCTCTAAGAAAGTTTTGGTAACATAATTGTCAGAGGAATTGTAAAAAAATGGCATCTGAAAGGGTGGTCAGCACCTTTCAGTGCCACTATTAAGCACATATTAAGGTGCCACCTCCAAGTTGTCACCTAACAAGATGGCAGATGATCTAGCCAACAAAAATATTACCAGTCAGCATATATAATATTTATCTATCTTTTTAGCATTTAATCTTTTTAGATCAATGTTTTTATCCTCCAAAAAAATAGTAACTAACACAGTTGAAAGTCTTTCAAGTGCTTTCCATTGGACGGGTGAAACCAAAAAGGACTAAAGCGAAATTTCCATGGCGAGCAGTAAGCATTCCAAAAAGTAGGGTTAGCATTTGTCATGTTTCTGACTGGAATTTTTAGTATTGTGGCTACCTTCCGTTGAATTAGGAAATTAGAATACGTTGAATTAGGAAATTAGAATATTTTGTTTATAGTAGTATGTATTGTTAGCATATTATATCATTATCTGAGCTTTTTTGGTTTGTAATTATTCTATGCCCTCAGGGCTCGACTTGTAATTGTCTCATCTTGTATACCCTAATCTTCATTTATAAATTAGAGGATGATATTCTATCAAACCCTAAGCTAGTTACTCAAGCTTCATGGTATCAGAGCAGAACCTCTAGGGTTTCGGCTCACCCTCGTTGGTAGACCTCTACACCAACGACACTCTAGGGTTCGAAGCTTACCTGGGTGGATCATCTACTGCGTCGATCTTCAGCTCGTCGATCTTTGCTTCGTCTTCATCACTCAGTCGCCGTCGTCACTCAGTCGCCTTCCTCTGTCGATTGTCACCCAGCCGTCTCTCAGTCGATCGTCACTCAGCCGCCTTCCTCAGTCGATCTCCTTCATCTTCGTTCGTCAGCTCGTCAATCGATCTCGTCAGCTGCCTTCCTCAGTCGATCTCCTCAGCTTGTCTCCCTCATATCGTCGATCTCCTTCATCTTCGTTCGTCTGGTAGACTCTCATCTCTGGTATACAACATACCTCATCTCTGTTTGGTATATATGTCGTGTATACACATGTATAAATAAATAACCTATATGCCTGTATTCGTATCAATACTTATATAAATAAATAAATAATTACTTTAAAAAAAAAAAGAGAAAAAAAAAAAGAAAAAGGAAAGAAGACTTTATGGTTTCTTAATTTTGTTATGCCTTTATAGTAGTCATTGTGCCTATTCTTTTGCCACCACCTTCCGGGTTTGTGATTGCCACTAGTTTTGTTGCGGGTTCGGTAGTATCGCATCCATGGCAGATTCCACCAGTGTGTCCCCTACTTCTCAAACACCGAGGAGTGAGAGTCTTATTATACCTACTACCATGGCTGAGAACCTCAACCCTAATTTGAAACTCACCACCTCTCTATTTAATGGTCAGAACTACTTAACATGGTCTCAAAGTTTGACTATATTTTTGAAGAGCCGAGGGAAGATGGGGTATGTTGATGGCAGGATACAGGCACCTAGTACCACTAACTCGGGTTATGACCAATGGGAGATTACCAACTCTTTGATTATGGGTTGGCTTATTCATTCGCTGGTTCCTGAAATTGGTGAGGGCTACTTGTCTATGGAGACTGCTCAGGATGTTTGGGATGCTGTGACTGCCACCTATTCCCGCAAAGAGAATTTCTCACAGGCATTTGAGTTGCGCCGCTTTATTGAGAGCTCACTTCAAGGGGAGCAGACTGTTCTTCAGTATTTCACTTTCCACACCAACGGCTGGAAACGCCTTGACCACCTGGAAGACTATAAGCTCGTTTGCCCTGCTGATTCTGTCGGGTACAAGAAGTTCATCGCACGAGAACGGGTCTTTAAATTTCTAACAGGCCTAAATGTGGAGTATGATCCAGTTAGGGGTCGAGTTCTGGGTATGGACACTCTTCCTTCACTTCAGGAGGCATTTGCCTATATACAGAATGAGAAGAGTCGCCGGTCTGCTATGATGTCCCCTGTCTCTACTGATCGCTCAGCATTACTGTCTACTCCTCGAGATGGCCTCAGCCTGACTCCTATCCCTTCGTCTGCTGCTAAGGAGTCTGTATTCTGTGATTATTGCAAGAAGCCACGGCATACTCGTGAGACATGTTGGAAGCTTCATGGGACTCCATCCGGGGGTCGAGGTGATCGGTCTGGTTCTCGAGGAGGTCGGTCAGGCCAGTCTAGAGGACGTGGTTCCTACTCCCAGGCTCATCAGTCTAGTGCTGTTGATACACTTGATTCTAATTCTGCTTTTGTTGGCCAAGCTTCTGATACTAAGCTGGAGGATGCTTTTCACCAATTGTTAGACCGCCGGTCTTCTACTATTCTCAGTACAGCTTCCTCATCCTTTGCCCGCTCAGGTAACTTAGCCTCTTCTCCTTGTGTTTTCCTGTGTCATAAGTCTTTGCCTTGGATTATTGATTCTAGTGCCTCTGATCATATGTCTGGCTCCTCTGATCTTTTCTCTGTCTATAAGCCCTCTTCAGGTCAGGACAAAGTTAGGATTGCAGATGGTACTGTTTCTTCCATTTCTGGAAAAGGTTTAGTCCAAGTCACTCCTACCATACATCTATCTTCTGTTCTCCATGTTCCCAATTTTTCTGTTAATCTGTTATCCTTGAGTCGTCTTACCCAGGATTTGAATTGTGGTGTGACGTTTTTCCCTGATCATTGTCTTTTTCAGGACCTTGTCACGAGGAGGACGATTGACAGTGGTAGTGCAGAAAATGGTCTCTACTTCCTGGATCAACCAGACAAACTTGCTTATTCTTCCACCACGTCTTCTACTACCCCCGCTGATTTATGGTTGTGGCATCGGCGTCTTGGGCATCCTTCCTTTTATTTACTTAAGCATTTATTTCCATCTAGTTTCACAAATCATCATGTGTCTGACTTTCTTTGTGAGTCTTATCAACTTGGAAAACAACACAGAGCTTCTTTTGCTCCCAGTTTGAATAAAAGTGTAGTTCCTTTTTCATTAATACATTTTGATGTTTGAGGTCCCTCTCATGTTATGTCTGCGAAAGGTCATCGATGGTTTGTTACATTTATTGATGATTTTTCTCGTGCTACTTGGGTATATCTCATGAAAGATAAGAGTGAGGTTTTCTCTGTGTTTCGCAATTTTCATAAGATGATTTGTACTCAG